CAGGTTTTGGCATTCTCATTTAGCATATGAAAAACACAAGGCTCAGATTTAAGTGATTTGCCTACTGTCTTAGCTCAGGCAGCCATAACAAAATACCACAGATGGGGAGGCTTAAACACCAGAAATTTATTTATCCCAGTCCTGGAGACTGGGAGGTCCAAGATCAAGGTGATTCAGTTCCTGGCTGGGGCTCTCTTCCTGGCTTGATGACGGCTGCCTTCTTGCTGTGTCCTCGTACGGCCTTTCCTCAGCATTAGTTTGCGGAGGAAAAGGGAACTCTCCTCCTCTTCCTCTTCTTATAAGGCTCCCCATCCTATCAGAATGGAACCCAACCCTTATGACCTCATGTAACCTCACCCACCTCCCAAAAGCCCTGTCTCCAAACACAGTCACATTGGGGGTTAGGGCTTCAACACAGGAATTTTGAGGGGACATAATTCAGTCTGTAGCACCTAAAGTCCCACGGCTGCAGTCTGAACGCGAGCCCAGATTGAGCCTGAGTTTCCCACCGTTGCTCTGCTGCCTTGCGGATCCACGTGTGTCCCAAAGACACCACGGAAGAGTGCAAGACTCAGAGCTGGGGCAACAGAGCATGGTGGCCAAGCACAGGATGGGGGCCGGAGAGGGCTGGGCTCCAGCTCCGGGCAAAGCGTCGCACCTGCTATAAAGTAGGGCTCTCGTGGAGTGCTTCGCTGCCTGGGGTGCTGTCAGGATTAACAGGGACAAGCGCAGAGGAAGCCCACAATGGTAAGTTCCAGAAAAGCTGGGAACTTTGTTCCCTGATGTACCCCAAGTGCCTAGGCCCATGCTGGACACCTGACAGGTGCTTAATCAAAATGGTGGGATGAATTTTTAAATTGCCCTTATTATCACTGACCTGGTATTAGAATCCCTGGGTGCCAGCGTTAGCTTTATCACCACTATACGACCTTGGGCGAGAGTCTGCTCACTGTCTGTAAGTGAGGATAATAACGATACGGACCATCAGGGTTGACCTGAGGATGGCGTGGGATCACCACGCAAGGTCTTGGGTAGCCAGGGCCTTGCAGGTGCTGGGCATCACATGCACACGAGGCAGACATGGTTTGCCCTCCTCTCTGTGCTGGGTTTTGATAAAGACTGTGACAAGGTGAGGAGCTCTGTTCTGGGGGAAAGGAAGCTTGTGTTTTCGCCCCCCTCATCCCAGCTTGGGCAGTCTGCCTCTGCTCTGCAGGCCCGCTTTGGCGCTGGGCAGTGGTGGTGGCGAAAGGGGGCGAGTGGACTGCAGACTGGTGGGTGTCACTCTGCATCACCATTCTCTGAGGTAGGCAGAAGAGGCAGGAACCGTGGCCTGGGTGGGGGATCAGCCTCCAGTGTAGACACAGGTATTGCTGTGTGTCTAACGCCTTGAGAGGCTCAGGTGGGAGGACAGCCATTGGACTTTGGGGTGTGTCTGTGTGGGACGAAACCTTCTCTTGGGGGGCTGGATCCTCACCGGCCAAGGCCCCCTCCCTGGGGAGTTCTGGTAAATTCCCAGGGATTTGGGGCTCTGCCTTAGGAGGGGATGGGCTGGCAGTCTGCTCCACGTCTACTGAGGAGACTGCAGGCAGGTCCAGGGGACTGGATGCGAGGACAGGAGGCTGAGCATCCCCCATAGGGCCGAGTGGGTCTCTGGGAAGCTGGTCTGCAGGCCCCCGGGAAGGGGTATTTTTAACTGGAAGCCAGGAGATCTGCATGGGGACACTCCCCCTTGCTGGTGGCTGCTCTGCTAACACACTTGCTGCCCATCTGCCCAAGCTGCCACCCACACACCTTCTCCTTACCACACCCAAAGGATGCAAACACTGAACAGAGTCCGAGTCTGCTCTGGCTTGGAGGGATCCCTCATGGGGGTGACCACATCTACTGCCCAACCCTGCCTATAGGACCTTGGCACAGGCAGGATGTGCAAGGTCCAGGCACCCTTCCACAAATATTTTGGGCTGAACACCTCACGACAGCTGTAGGGACTAAAGGGCCCACGACCCTCTGGCCTCTCCAGCTATTGCCGAGCCCTCTTCTTCTCATGCCCAGCGGTGTTGTCTATGCTGATTCCACTTTCTCATCCCTCTACCTCACTGCTCTCCTGAAAGTGCTCTCCCCACAGCCACCAATCTTTGCTGCTAAGCCTGGTGGCCTTTTCCAGGCCTTAGAAGACTTGATGTTTCCTCACCCTTCAACCCTCCCTGATCCCTGGGTTCTCCTGATTTTAGTGCTTAAAGTTTCACACTCCGGGAACTCCCTCAGTTCAGGGCAAAGCGGGACCCCGGGGTCACCCTAGACTCCCCCCTGACCCATGCATCTCCGTCTCCCTGCTCTCCCAGGGGCTCTCACCAGTTCTCTGGCTGCAGCTGCCATCTGGGTGGGGAAGAGCCCAAGTCTGGGATGCTAGCCTCACTCTCTCCCCAGATCCAGACCCAAGAGCTAACTGCCTGCGGAGCATCTCTGCTCAGAGGTCTCCTGGCACCTCCAACTCACCGTGCCTACATCTGACCTCACCATCTGATCCCAACCCAAACTTCTCTGTCTGGTCTCTTGTTAGCATGATGAGCTCCACCATCCACCAAGGAGCTGCAAATCCCAGACACCTCTTCCTTCCCAACCATCTAATTAACGACATGATCTCATCAGTTGTACCTCCTGAATCCCTTGACTCTCTCCAAATGTTTTGATCCCCACTGTCACTCCCATGGTGCAGCTCCCCACCATCTCTTGCCCCGATCAGTGCAGAGGCAGAGGAATGCTGACAGCGGCTGCTCCTGGGATGGCCAGTGGTACGGGTTGAACTGTGTCCCCCAAAAGATATGTTTAAATGCTCAGCCCCAGTGTGTGTGAATGTGACCTGATTCAGAAATAGGATCTTGGCAGGTGTAACCGAGTTAAGATGAGGCCATTAGGGTGGGCCCTAATGCAATATGACTGGTGTCCTTATGAGAAGAGGAAAACGCCATGTGAAGGCAGGGACTGCCAGGGAGGACGCTGTGTGACGAGAGAGGAAGAGACTAGAGCGACGCAGCTGCGAGCCAAGGAATGCTGGGGTTTGCCAGGGGCCACCGGGAGCTGAGAAGAGGCAAGGACAGAGTCTACCAAGAGTCTCAGGGAGCCTGGCCCTGCTGACACCTCGATTTTGGACCTCAAGCCTCCGGAACTGACAGAGAATAAATTTCTGTTGTTTAAGCCACCCAGTTTACGGTACTCTGTTATGGTCGCCCTAGGAAACGAGCACAGTGAGATATGGGCAATTTTCATTTTCTTATACCTTCCAATATTTTAGAGTATATGTAGTGCATACTCAAGACTTTTATGATCAAGTAAAACAGTTATTCTTAAAAAGAAATGCTCATGGCCGGGCGCGGTGGCTCATGCCTGTAATCCTAGCTCTCTGGGAGGCCGAGGTGGGCGGATTGTTTGAGCTCAGGAGTTCAAGACCAGCCTGAGCAAGAGCGAGACCCCGTCTCTACTAAAAACAGAAAGAAATTAATCGGACAACTAAAAATACATAGAAAAAATTAGCTGGGCATGGTGGCACATGCCTGTAGTCCCAGCTACTCGGGAGGCTGAGGCAGAAGGATCGCTTGAGCCCAGGAGTTTGAGGTTGCTGTGAGCTAGGCTGACGCCACGGCACTCTAGCCCGGGCAACACAGTGAGAATCTGTCTCAAAAAAAAAAAAAAAAAAAAATGCTCATTAAGAATCGTAAACACCCGAGTGGATTTGCTTCTGAGAACTGAAACTATCCACAGCACACAGTTGACTGACTGGACCAACGCAGCTTTATCTTCCACTGTCTGCATCACCAGGACTTCACTCTTCCAGAAACTCTCGCCCAGGAAGATAGAAGTTGCAAATAATTTTATCGTTCATGTCAGGAACTTTGCAAACAACATTTAAGCAAACATCAGATTGTTCAACTTTTTAATAGATAGCATCTAATGACTGTTCTCCAACATTCTTCGAAACGCTGGCCTTGCTGTGTCCGCCATCCTAAACTCCTACGTCATGGTCCTTGCCAATCTTAACCAAGGCCCCACAGGGGAGACCCTGAAAACTCAGCCATATCCCACTTGCACTTGCCTTTCTGCGATGCTCCTGACTCTGTCCAGGGAGAGTCAGCAGGAAGCCCAGCTCTGCCTCATCCGTGGGTTGACTTGGTGGTATTTTCAGGCATTTGACATCTAATATATTCAAAAGACTGCATTTACTGACTGCAAACCCAAGAGGTCAGGAAGTATCCCTGAACTGTAGCTGGGGAAACAGACTCCTGGATCTTAAGGAAGTTGCCCAAGGCCACACCACTGGTGGACCACAGTGCCGAGGTCCAGCTGACCGCAAAGCCTGCGCTCTTGGTACTTTCCCGCCTTCCCAAACTTGCTGAGACTGTAATACGCAACGCACACACTCCAGCGTCGGGCTGTTTCTGGGACCTGATGGTATTCTGCTCCCAATTACCCAGATAACTGCCTTGAGTGGACAGACTCCACACTCCCCCGGCAGATGTCATCCCGGCAGGTTTCCCGAGGGGAGTCGCCATAGAGACCATTTCCACGGCAAGCAGCGCAGCCGGAGCCCCAGGATTTCTGCTTCTCTGCCCTGGGCCTGGGCAATGTTAGCCAGGAAAGGCCAGTGGGCTGCGGTGGAAAACAAGCCATCATTTCAGACGGGCTACTTCCCACAAGGCACTGCCGCAACAGGTTGGCAGGGGAGGAAGAAGTGGCCCCTTTTGTATGGCAGCGCTGACCGCAAAGCCCATTGTTTGTGCCTCTATTCAGAGGCCGCGTGGTACGGGCTCCGTGCCAACCTGCAGACCGGGTTCTTTTCTTCCTCCCAGTAGCACACGTACATATTTGCTTTAAAGTGGGCAGAATTTGCCCACGGGTGGTCTTTGATTTGGAAGAAATCAACCTCAAAGCAGTGACTCACAAGAAACAAAGATGGCTTGACTCACTCGGTGCTCGGGAAGGGGATGTGCGTGGAATCCACTTACCCAGAAGAAGAAGTTAAAGACAAAGAGTAAATACTTCAGGTAGACAATCAGCCAGTCGGCCTGTTCCGTCTTGTAGTGGGCCATGCTTGCTGTGCCTGCAGAGAAGACATATGTGTTGGGCCAGGGGACCGCGGAGAACCTGCCCTTCCCAGAGCCAAGCACCTTGGAAAGCCCCCTTCAAAGGGCTTATCAAGGCTGTGGGTGTGCAGCACGGGGCAAGATCAGGGAACTGCAAAGGCTGGTGGGAGACGAACTTGGGCAGAATGTGCTGGACCTTTGGATCTCGGTTTTGTCCTCTTGACAAAGGTCCAACCTACAAGTCTTCCACAGATCTTGTACTGGCCTTGATGTATTCTTATTCTCTTTCTGTTTCATCAGGATTGCAGGACACAAGTTTACCTATCCTGTGCGCACACACACGCGCGCACTCGGCAGGGCTGCTCTGCATTGGAAACTTGTGCTCTGCGTCGTGTGAACGGAACTCTGCATCCACAGGTGCGGCACGACCCCACGTAGAGCATCTGTGCCAGAGAGGACCTCAATGCCGCCCAGTCCACCCCACCTGGCCCCTCCACCTTGACTTTCCAGGTGGGGAAGCAGGTCCAGACAGGCCTGGTGGTTTGGCAGGAGGAAGTACAAGAGCCTCTGGAGTCTGACTCCCTGGGTTCAAATCCTGATCTGTCACCAGGTGAGTGATACTTTGGGCAAGTTACACAATGTCCCATCCCTCAGTGTCCTCATCCATAAATGGGGATAACAATGATACTTTTATCATAAGGTTGAAGATTAAATGAGTTAATCTGTGTGACGTGTTTAGCACAGCTTGGCACATAGTAAGTGTTCAATAAACATTAGCTACTATTATTACATGTCACAGAGCAGGGACTAGCACCTAGGACTCCAGTCTATCTCTGTCCCAGCACCATCTTCCCATGCTTGTCCCGACACCCACCGAGGGACCCTGGGAAGCAGGACACGTGTGGTGGTGACAAAGGAGGAGGCCCGGCAGTCCTATTTGCCTCGCAGCCCGTCTGAGCCTCTGTAACTCTGACGCCTTGGACGCTCCTCTCCTTGAGCTCTGTGTACCCCTGGGCACCTGCACCCCGACACTCACGGAGGAGCTGCTCTTTAAGAAATCGTCCCCATTTTGAAAACCTCTTTTATTTCCGAACCATCAGCAGTAACGAGGGCCTGGTGCTGCCCACTTCCATCTCGCCCTGCGCCGCTCCCCAGCCCCCGCTGGGCCCTCCTTTCGTCCCCGGCTGGGGCTGGGCCAGGCCCAAATTACTTTCTCTGAGCCACTGCTCTGCCTTTTATTTCAAGCTCCTGGGCTCCGGGAGAGAGGAAGAGAGAAAGAAAAGGTGGCTGTCTTATTTGAGATTTCTATTTGCAGACCTTGAAGAAGGTAATTTAAGACTTTTAGTCTTCTCGTTAAAAAAAGACAAAACCCATTTTTCTCCGAGTTAGTCTGCGAGGCAGCGTGGTGGAAGAAATACAGGAGGAGCAAGAAAAGCAGCCTGTAAAAACCGGGATAGCGGGGCCGGCCGGGCGATGGAAGAGGAGCTAGTCCGTGGTCCTTCTGCCCTGATGGGAGACTGGGGGCGGCGTCCTCTCGGCCACCGGAGGCCCTTGGCAAGCTGACAGTGTGGTGGCCTGTGGATTCCTGCCACAGAGCCATCTCTCGACCCGCGGCAAAGGGGCCTGAATGACCACTCAAACCAAGGGGGCAGGCTGCAAAGGAAAACTATATTTTCAAAAAAGAACCCCAGGCAGAAGACAGGACTTAACACAGAGAAATATATTTCTAATGGCAAAATTTCAGCCACTAGTGGTAGAGAAGATAGAGCCACAGAATCCCAGGGTTGGGAACACCTCTGGGCTCACTTAACTCAACCTTTTACAGAAGGAATGAGGAAGCTAATATGTCTGATTCAAGACAGACTTTTAAATGACTTCTCTAAAGTCACATGCGTAATTGGTAGTCACAGTTTCCTAACCCCCTCTGTTCAGCACTCCTTCCCCCATAACACCCCCAACACGTGTGGGGTCCTGTGCTGGGGTGGCAGAGGCCCCAAAGAAGTATCAGTGCCGGCTGGGAGCCAGATGCCTGGGTCTAAAAGCTAGCCTTGCCATTTACCGGTTGTGTGACCCTAAGCAAGTTACTTAACCTCTCTGTGCAGCTAACATTCATTGAATATTTATTACGTGCCAGGCACAGAACTAAGTGCTTTGCCTACATTATCTGGATCCATGTTCCCAACACTCCTATGTATTAGGGTTATTCCCATTTTGTAAGATACGAAAACTGAGGATTAGACAGGTTACACAACCTGTCCAAAGTCACACAGCAAATAAAGGGCAAAGTCAGGGCTGAATGAGGAACCTCTGCCTCTGGGCTCAAGCTTCACACAGCTGCCAGGAAGGGAGGAGGCGAAGGCCAGAGACTGCTGGTTTCCCTAGTATTTGTTCTCCCCCTCTTCTTTAGGAATAGAACCTCTCAATTTTCGTTGGGTACGTGGCTGCCTGGAGCAGATGACATTTCCTAGCCTCGCTCTCTGGTAGGTGCAGCCAGGATTAGCGGCTGGCAGGTGAGTAGCATAAAGGCTGAAGTGGTATATGCACCTTCTTAGAAGTATCATTTTTTGAGTATGTTTCATGTGCATTTGAAAAGAACGTGAATCCTCCCATTGTAGGGTACAGAATTTTGTATGTGTCAATTAGATCGAACTTGTTAATTGCACTTTTCTCATCTTCTGTAGCCTTACTGATCTGCGCCTGCTTGTTCTATTGGCTGTTGAAAAAGGCATAGGGCAGATTCCCACTATGACCATGAATTTTTCTATCCCTCATTTAATTCCGTTGTTTTTGATTCATATATTCTGCAGATATTTTATGGGGTACAAACAGATTTGGAGCTGAGATGCCATTCTGGTGGATTGATTCCTTTATCATTAACAAATGTCTTTGTCTCTATTAACCAGAAGTATCCTTACGGTGGGTGGGGGCATGTCTCTCTTCCTGTTGGGAGGAAAGCAGATGTCACAGCTGCAGCCGTCCTGAGCCATGAGTGGGAAACCGTAAGTTGAAAAGGACAGCGCACGCTAAGTTCGGAGTCTGGGTCTCAGATGCTGTAGAGCCGCCCTGCCGTCTCTGAGCTGCTGGCCTCCAGACCTGGTTTACATGAGCGAACAACAAACCTGTAGCTTCTTTAAGCAACGTGTTTGAATATGCTGTTAGTCACGCTGACTCCATCCTGCTGTGGTGGAGGGAGCAGCGGGTTCCAGGTGTGTGAGATTGTCACGTGCTGGGGCACCGCTGGTGGGGCAGTGAGACTAGAGCGTGCTTTGGGACAGTGTCACCAAGCTCTTTTGACGGTACACCCACCTCAATTTATTTATAAATTTTATTCATGTACTACTGTCTATATATAGTAAATATTCATCAAAGCCTCATTTTGCCTTTTTTAAGGATAAAAATAATTAGGAATAGGAATTCTAGTAAGTTCTCCCCGCACCCTGGTGTATTGTCTGCCTCCACTTTGGAGACCACTGGTGCAGAGTGTGAGTGGAGGGGTGAGAGCTGAGGGTTAAGGAGGGTCAGATCAAGAACGGCCTCACGTGCCAAGCTCAGGGACTTGGATTCGTGTCCTGAAGGTGATGCCGAGCCCAGGAAGGTAGTGCTTAAGTCCAAGAAAGAGATGGGGGGGTGGAGAATGGGAAGTAGGGGACAGACACCTGAGCAGCATGGAGGGAGGCCCCCTCAGCAGGCAGTGTGTGCATGGAGGAGGCAGGGGAGGAAAGACCCCAAAGAGCTCTGCCTTCTACGAAGGGAGTGAGCAGAGGACGAGGGACACCAGGCAGGAAACTGACCTGCAAGGGAGGGGGTAGGAGAAGCAGGGGGTGCAGGATCCCAGAAGCCAGGGAAGAGGGGGTGGGCCACAGTGCCCCGTGCGGCCAAGAAGTCCCAGTCCCCTTAGGACTAGCGAGGGCTCACCTGCGCCGGAGCAGCATCCGTGGAGCACAGATGGTGGGTTAGGGATGCACCAGGAGAGGGGAGGAAATGCAGACCCCAGGAGGATAGTTTCAAGGCTGGAGGAAGCAGCTAGAGGCCAGGGAAAGGAAGTGCTTCTGTGTTGTGAAGAAGGGAGGCTCAGGCATGCCTAGTTCCAAAGCCCAGGCGCTTAGCTCTGCTGCCCCTGGGGAAAGGGGATGGGTGCAGGAGGGCAACCGGAGGCGCTCCCAGCCCCCTCCCCAGCTGTCCTAATGGCTTCCCCTCTCTAGGGCCTTGTTGCACCCCCCGCCCCGTATTCCTGTTTAGAGGGTGATACATGGGGGTGGGCATGGGAATGGCTGCCGCAGCCCCTGGAAAGCAAGGTAAACGCATGCCACTCGATGTGGGCTCACCTCCCCCTGCCAGTGAACGGGGGGACCAGGGCTTTGGATGATCCCCCGAAATCATTTCCACTGAGCTTTGAGGAGTGTCTGACGATTTCTGGGAAGCAGACCGGCCTTCCTACGTGGGTGTTATTTCTGTTCCTAGGAGTTGGGAGTTGACTTCCTGAACCACTGGGAGGAAGTGTCCCTAAGGGTCCAGAGGCAGACAGTGGGGGGCAGGCACGCCCACCCAGGGGGTGGTCAACACCTGGCGCAGAACCACGGACAATGTGAGGACAGAGGAGAGGTGCCTGTACCCCCAGATCCCCAACCTCAGCCAGGCTGCTCTCTTCTTTGGCCTCTGAAAGGCGTGTCTTGTTCACGCCGAGCCCTGAATCTGACACCTGCTCCTTTCTGCCCAGTGCTTCAGGGCTCAGAGGGGTCCCACCTTCCCTGACCCCCACTGCAATGCCCGGGGCCCACGGACTGCAGCAAGTGATTGGGTCCTTTTCCGTGCCTTATTGCTTTGTGTCACCGGGTTGACTGATTTCGACTCCGACAGCCTTCCCCGAGCTGTTGCTGGGACGAGGCGGGTGCTGCTCGGTGCAGCCAGGATCTGTTTTCCGGCTCTGCCCCTTACTTCTGCCTGCGCTTAGGCAAGTTGCCGCCCTCTCTCGGGGTCTATTTTCCCATCTGTGGGGTAGCGCAGTGGTTCTCTTA